TGTGTGTGTGTGTGTGTGTGTGTGTGTGTGTGGGTGTGTGTGTGTGTGTGTGTATTCCTCAGAGGCCATTTGCTGCTGACTTGTTAGGAAGGAGACAGAGATGACAGTCTCCTGGCAATGTCTGACCTTGGCTTAGAGAGTGGAGAGAAGCTTTGGGATCTGAACACAGACACACACACACACACACACACACACACACACACACACACACACACACACACACACACACACACACACACACATCAATGTACCCCTATCTTCGTCCCTTAACTCATTTGGCTACTTATCCCTCCACTTCCCCCCCATTCTAGATCCCATGCTCCCTCTCGCTTCCCAGCCTCAGCTCCCTCCCACCTGTGTATCCCAAATGCTTCACGGTAGCTGCCTCTGACCAATTCCCACTCCCTCCAACTTCATCATTGTCCTTTCTCTTCTAATCCTTTCCTTCTCCCATCCTCGGTCGGAACTTCCTCCTTTGCTGTCTGACCAACCAAAGCTCAGTTTGAGAGAAAAACCCTAAACCCTGCCTATCCTTAATATGTTGTCTAAAAAGAGTTTGTAACATTGTAACATATTGAGATTTGTAAGAAGCTGTGTCTTAGATACGCTAGGTGACCTCAACCCATTAGCTTGCTATACTGTAACTATCCCAATGGCCCTTTCTGTGGAAGAATATCCGGAAAGTTGTCTTGGGTAGAAACCCTTTTACCTGCACGCCGCCATCTCACTTTTAGACAATGCCGTGTTTGAAGTCACGCTTAGGACGCCATTTAACCATTATCTTTTTAACAGAAAGTTCATTGCTGCCAAGTCGATTTTAAAAATTTCATATATATGACTCATAAATCGCTCTGTTGGAAGACGATGATTCCTCTCCTCTATTATTTCTCCCCAACTTTATTTTTCCATTCCTGACCTCTTCCTGCTCTCCCACTTCCTCTCGTCCCATTTCCTTCCCTTTCTTCCATACCATCCCTCTTCCCCCTATCTTACTTCCGTTTCCCTTTCCTCCCATCCTCCCTGCTTCTCTCTTTCCCCTGCATAACTTTGATCCTGATCCCCTTATATTTCACAAGCTATGCTTTTTCCGGGGTGGGGGGCAGGAACACGTTTGCAGAATCCTTCTACTGAACCTCCCTCCTCATAACCTTCCCATATAATGCTTTTAGAGACTCACCCAGGCTGAAAAGGACCAGGAACTTGAGGCAGACAAACTCCCGTTGGTCTAGCTGGAGAGAGCGTAGCTTGGCTACCAGCTCCTGGGCGTGGCTCAACAGGTTGTTGAGGGTGGCTCCCGCCTGTGAAGCAATCACTGCATAGTCCACCTGGAATAAGCAGGGAGAGAATGATGTAAGGAGATGCTCTGATCGCGGAAATAAACGTAAGGATTAACGGTACCCTGTGTAGTTTTTCTTTGATTCATGTTGAATTGAATGTCCAGGTGGCTATAGCTTGTTTGAAACTTGGCTAGGCTAGCTAAACAGATAAACTAAGTTTGTCCGGATACAGCAGATTTATTTTATAATAGCCTCCCCTCTGTTATTTGGGCTCTTTACTTGGTTTCATTGTGTCTGACTGTCGAAATGTGTTTTTATCAAGTTTGCCTATCGTTGTCAATTCAAGGGTTATTTAATCCAATGACACATATCGAGAACCCCAATGTGCAAATATGATTGACAACTATACCACACAACTGTACCCTGAACACATCCCCACCGTGAGCTTGTTGTAATGAATCTTCCTTTACCTACCATGTTCCCTCTACAGCACTCTTAACATTGAGTCAAAAGCTTTGGTCACTCCTTCAGAGCGAGAGACATTATGTATGTTTGAAAAGCTCAATGCGGTAGGTTTCTGAAGTTTAACAGTTTTTTTTGTTATAACAACATGCTGTGGGTGAATGGAAAGAGCTAGGGAATTCACCTCCAACTGATAGACATGCCAGATTTGACTCTTTCTGTTTAGTGTTGCACAGCAAAACGAAATCATGCATGTGGACATATGACAAAAAAACAAGATACATAGATATATTTCCCATAAAACCACTCTCTTGGGTCACACCCATCCGTCTAAACATACGCACACACACAAACATACTCCTTTTCAGCTGCACTTCATATCAGCAGCCGCAGCACATTTGTCTGGGAGGCAAGTCCTTAGCTGCCACTCAAAGTAAGCAGGACCATATTACATTTTTATATTTATTGACAATTCATTACCATAATTGACTGTGCTAGGGTTTCCAGGGGAAGGTAGGTGTTGGCATGCGCAGTTTCTGAAGCTCAGGGAGGAAGAGAGTCCCTGTGAGCCTCCATTTGCAATTAAAAACACCCCTGGATTTGGAATGTGTTTATTGTGTAAATAGGATGATTGGAGCCTGTTTTTCATCTTTCTGAAGAAGGTAAGGGTCAAAGTAAAGTAAATACATAATGTTTCTCCTCTCTTCTCCCGTCTTATTCCCTGCTTTTCTCGTTTACTGAACCGCTCTCCCGATTTATTCTTAACTCGTTGTCCCTCTCTCTTTTCACCCTTCCCCTTCGAGACGGTAAAGAGTTATGACTCGTTGAAAAGCAGACACTGCCCCCCTTCCAAGGTGTCAATCAATTTACATAAAATCAACTGTGCATGAAATAACTTCATTGAAGGATTGGACTGTTGATGGTGATGCCTTGGGTTATTGCCTTCTAGCCTTAAGTAAAAGAGAGAAGAAAAAAGCGCTATAATGTCACTATAGCAGACTTAGCACTAACCTGGGTGACCTGCGTATCAGTCAATCAATCAATACTACTTTATTATCCCTCCTGGAGGGACATAGAGAGTAAATATATGAATAAACCTTCAAAGCTAAACCCATCATGAATACAATGAACAATCTTAGCAGAACATTAAAGATGAATATGGAAGGTGAGATCGGTTTGATGGGTAGAGGGCTTTGAAGTGTACGGAAGATGGGGATTGGAAATGTACCTTGTTTGAAAAGCACAGAAATCTACAGCTGGCCGAGGGACTTCTGTTTTTGCATTTCTTCTTCATTTGAATTTCATGTACACCAGGAGCATTATACTATCAAAATATCAGGATTTTCAAACCAAAAACTAGCTGCCAAGCTGCGAGGCCTTGCTTAATCATTCAACAGTCCAGTCCAATCTTCATGTTTGCTTCTGTTTGCACAAGTTACACTGTGCCTTTGATACTGTGACAGGACAAGCTTTTTTCAACTAAAACTAAAAACCCATGGCCATTTCTCACTGCTGTTGGTGACATGGCGACATGCAGCAGTTCAGAGAAAGAAAGAAAATAAGAATAAGACTGGAATTAGCAAGTGAGAAGCTGAAGGGCATGAGAAGAGACTGAATAACTAAAAGTAGAGTGCAGACTCTTGATTCAAAGCAAAAGGGGAGAAACATCTGTCTAAATTTCCATTTTAACCGATCGCCTGTTATAAAGTCCCATTTAAAAATAAATAACTGAAAATATCTGCCAATCTGAGGACATTTCATTTGTTCATTAACCGACAAACTAAAAACAAACAACTTATCTAAAACAGAACACTCACTGAACATGACAGACGGACAGGTCTAAATGTCTAAGCTTTGACTTCGATATGTGTCGATAAGTGTGTGTGTGTGTGTGTGTGCGTGCGTGCGTGCGTGCGTGCGTGCGTGCGTGCGTGCGTGCGTGCGTGCGTGCGTGCGTG